GAAGGGGGGGAGGCGGGGGGCGCGTAGGAAAAGACTAGGGAGCTAGCTCCTGCCCCTGCCACTCCCGACTCTCCCAGCCCCACTCACCTGCCCTGCCCCCACACATGCCTGAACAGTTGCTGGCAAGACTTAGGCGAATTTGGCAGCTCTGACAGGGCCCCAGGCATCTTTGACGGGTCTTGCCACATGCGGGTGGCCAAGGCCCAGTGCCAGGGCACAGGCGGCAGGGGTCCAGCTGGTACTCTGAGCACAGAGCTTCATCTCTTGTCTCCTTCGGCAGGGGTGGGAACTGCTGGGGACTTTCGTCTGAGCCTCTCAATGGCCTTGTTTAGAAACTGGGACCTGAGGCCCAGGCAGGACCTCCCGCAGGGCTCTGGTCCATTCTGGTATGTGAGAGACCCAGATGGATGGGGTCTCTGTTCTCCAGGCATGGCCATGGGGCCTCTGGATTCCCTCCCGCCTTGGGCACGTAGGAGAGCCTTCTGCCCCCAGGTGCACAGTCAGCCCAGGCAGGTATGCCCCCCTCACCCCAAGTTGAACAGTGGAAAGATCCTTCCAGCCATCAGAGATTCGGGGCTTCATCTGGAATGCAGTGGTTCTGCTGCACAGAGTGACAAGGGGGCTAGTGCAGCCACTGATTGGTCCTGCTGCCCCTGCAGGCTTCAAGGAGACTGCCTTCCTCTACGCCATCTCCTCAGCTGGCCTGACGCACGCGCTGGCCAAGGCCTGCAGTGCAGGCCGCATGGAGCGTTGCACCTGTGATGAGGCCCCTGACCTGGAGAACCGTGAGGCCTGGCAGTGGGGTGGCTGTGGAGACAACCTCAAGTACAGCAGCAAGTTTGTCAAGGAGTTCCTGGGTCGGCGGTCGAGCAAGGACCTGCGCGCCCGAGTGGATTTCCACAACAACCTCGTGGGTGTGAAGGCAAGCGGGGAGGGGGTGGGTGCCAGGGAGGTTGTGCTGGGGCAGGCTGTACTCAGGGCTGGGGGACTGGGAGGAGATGGAGGCCACTGCCTTTGTGCTTTAGTGACAGCCATGTGGTGCCAGCCAGGGTCCTTAAGTCTTCTTGCTTATAAGGCTCAGTACCTGTCAGATAGATGGAGATGCTAGTTGACATAGAGCATGCCCGTGGTCCCCCATGGAGGGTACGTGTTTTCATGTAGAGAGCTGGAGGTCCAGCTTTCTGCTGTTTGGGGAGGAGCCAGGTGGGCCTGGGCCCGTCTGCGTCTGGCCCTGGGTGGTCAGGGCCACCAGGAGGGTCTCTGTCTATTCAGGAAGATGGCAGACTGGGCCCTGCCTGGTGGAGTTGAGGAACAGGTGGTCCTGTCACCAGGGAAGTAGGCAGAGGCAATCTGGGGAGTGTGCAGGCCAGGGAATCAAGGGAAGGACTGGGGTGCACTGGCCCAAGTTTGAGGGGTTGCTTCTGCCTCACGGATCTCATCTGTGGCCAGGACTCTATTCTGAGGGAACCTAGCTTAGAAGGCTCAGGAGAAGGAATGTCTTGGCTCTCTGGCTGGGCCCAGAAGGGGGCTGCTGGCTGCATGCATGGCTAGGCCTGGAGGACCTGGCTTCTGCAGCCCTCCATCCTCCTTGCAGCCCCTTGGCAACTGGGCCCACATCACTGGAGGAGGAGTCAGGCATATACTATTGTCCTCACTGTGGATGGAGCACCGCCACCTTGGTCCCTGATCAACCTGGGCCACCAAATGCCCCGGAGGCTGAGCTGGGACCTGGGGGACATGCAGGGTGCTCTGCTTGCTGATGGGCTGCCAAAAATGTAGAGCCCCATCCTGGGGTGCTGTAATTAGAGCCAGGCTGCTCTGATCCTCTTTATTGACTAGCTGGCTTCTGAGTTATGGATGGGAGCTCTCTCCCTCCTTCTACCCTCTGGGGAGGGTTTTAGCAGATTGAACCCCCCAGGCAAGGCCCTTCCTTTTCCTTTGCAATCTCCTTTTGTAAACTGTACATGAAAAGTCAGAATATGAAAACTGTGCCTTAGCTCCAGGGTTAACAGGCCTGGGTTAGCAGCATTTTAATTAAATTTGTCTGTTTCTCAGCAAAGTATTCTTAAATGTAACTACTTTGTTGCCTGGCAGGAGAGTAGCTTTGTTTCTTTATCTTCTTCTGTGGCTCTCACTGGGGACTCAGGCCTGGCTTGGGCCACTGGGGAGGGCCTCCCCGCCCGTCCTGCCTACATCCCTCTAGGGACTCCTGAGTAGGCAGTCCAGTAGGAGGCCCAGTGGGGCAGCTGGCCTGACTTCCTGGCTTTGCAGGTAGCACCTAAGTCCTGAAAGTGGAAGGACCCAGTCTGGGTCAGCAGTACATGCAGTAGCGCCAGGTTCTGATGCTTAGGACCTGGCTCAGTTATAGATTTCAGTGACCAGTCTTGCCCACTGGTAGTGAAGCTCTTAGAGAGCATACTGCTAGGTCTTGGCTGATGGGGGGCTGATGGCAGGGCTGGAGGGCAGTGTGCCCTTCCTTGCAGGGGGCAGCCCCAGATGCAGGGAGGAACATCTGGGCAGGAAGGGAGTGTCTTCACAGGGCCACAGGTGCTGTGGTGGCCGCTCTAGAGGCCATGCTGCTGGCTGTGGGGCTGCTGTCTTAGGGAGTCTGCGGTTTGAAAGGGGAGGGACAGATGTGCAAACCAGGGAGCTTGGTGATGGATGGTGGTGGCCCCCCGGGCCATGCCTGGGTCTGGGGGCCATGGAGTTTGGTCCCAGGGTGGATACCAGTTTCAGCCTCTCTGGGGTCATCCATCGGGTGTGGTGTCTGACAACCAGGCATGGCCCTCATGCTCACTTCTGTCCCTCCCTTGCTGCAGGTAATCAAGGCCGGGGTGGAGACCACATGCAAATGCCACGGCGTGTCGGGCTCCTGCACCGTGAGGACATGCTGGCGGCAGCTGGCACCCTTCCATGAGGTGGGCAAGCGCCTGAAGCACAAGTACGAGACGGCGCTCAAGGTGGGCAGCACCACCAATGAAGCTGCCGGCGAGGCTGGCGCCATCTCACCGCCAAGGGGCCGGGCCACAGGGACGGGTGGTGACCCCCTGCCCCGCACGCCGGAGCTCGTGCACCTGGACGACTCACCCAGCTTCTGCCTCGCTGGCCGCTTCTCCCCGGGCACCGCTGGCCGCAGGTGTCACCGTGAGAAGAACTGCGAAAGCATCTGCTGTGGGCGTGGCCACAACACACAGAGCCGGGTGGTGACACGGCCGTGCCAGTGCCAAGTGCGTTGGTGCTGCTATGTGGAGTGTAGGCAGTGCACGCAGCGTGAGGAAGTCTACACCTGCAAGGGCTAGTGCTGGGCGCTGAGCTGTTGCAGGGCTGCAGGCAGTGTGGGCAGCACGAGGCCCTGGCTGGGAGTCCCCAGTACATATGAGAGTGAAGTGGGGGCAGGAGCCTGGGGCGGGCTGGGTGGCTGTTTCTGCCCCTCTGTCTCCCCTCGAAGGCCTGGTCTGACCTCCACGTCCCCTCTGCTTGTCCTTTCCTGGGGCACAACAGCATTGCACTGATGCTTTCCAGGCCATGTCCGTCCTTAAGCCTCCAGTTCCTGCGTCGCGGCGCCCCTCGTTGCCTGGGCTCCCTCTGAGGAGCACAGGTGCACCTTCGTGACCACACAGGTCCTCTGTGGCAGCCTGGGGGCTGCCTGGCACTGGCTCTGGTTAGAGTCAAACCACTAGAAGAGGGCCGGCCGGCTGCCCAGTCCCGGGGGACACTGCCAGCCCCCTCTGACACCCATCACTTCTCTTTGGAGTGATATCAGTGACTTAAGTTATTTTTATTTAACTAATATATAATAATTATTTTCTCTGTCCCCGCCATGTTCCAGACTGCGGCTCCTCTGGTCTGGAGGGGCCCTCTTTCCCCCACTTCTTTGCCTGATCTGCTTTGTGTTTGAAACCACTAAGTCAAGAGAGATACAGTCTTTGTTCTAAAGAGTTAAAGCAGCTGTGTCTGGCCACCTCCTTCAGGGCTTCTGGAAGCCAGGTTCCCAGGTCCAGGCCCCGCAGCCCCCAGGGAGGCCATCCCAGGCTGGGTGCCTATGGGCACACAGTCCTGCATTCCAGCCCTGAAATGCAGATTCTGGGGCAGGGGAGGCAGAAGTTGGCCTGTTCTCCCCAAGGGGTGTGCGTGCGCAGAGAGGCAGGGACAGCCCTGTGGAGGCTTCATTTCAAAAAGAAGGCACAGCTTTCCCTGTGTCACGGGTGTAAGCAGAGTGGGGACAGATGTGGATGGAGAGCATCTGGAGCTAGGATTTCGCAAACGAAAGGCTGTTCTCCTTGGCCATGATGTTATCTTTGCAGGAAGGGGGAAAAGATGGCCTACGCTGACTTGGTTCGGTTTGAGTGTGTGCACACGTGTGTGTATGTGTGCATGCATGCTTGAGTATGTCTGTATGTGTGGTGCATGTGTGCATGAGTTGCATAGGTGTGGTATGTGCATGAGTGCACGTGCATTCTTGTGCATGAGTGTGAACATACACATGTCTGCATGTGTGTATGTGGATGCATGCATCTGTGTGACATGGGCATGTGTATGCTGTCTGCATGTGTCATGTGAGCTTATGTGTGTGAACATGGGTGATGGTTACATACATGAATGCCCAGGTGTGTGTGTTGGCGTGCTCTGTGGGTGGCTGGGGTGTGGCCTCCACCCTGTGCCCTTCCTCAGCATGGGGCTCTCCTTCCCATGGTGGTGTCAACGGAAGCCTCGGCTCCAGAGCCTCTGCCCTGGGCATGCCTGCTCCACTGGGTAGCAGTGTTCGGAGGGTGCGGGCAGTGCAGACATGGGAACTACTGAGCTAGGACATTCCTTGGAGTCCTGGGGGGCTCCAGGAATCCAGGGGACTGTTTCTAAAAAGAAAACCTATTTATGTTGATGTGGGTCTCTTTGTCCCTGTTTTATGGTGTAAATAGTAAAGTTTATCCTCCTGTGGTTCTGAGAACACCCCGTGAATAACCCCCGTGTGTTGACGGGGCAGTGTGGAGGCCCGTCCCTGGAAGGGAGCCAGGTGGGCTTCGCTGTGACAGGTGATGTGGGCCTGCCCCTCGGTCCCTGCAGGCCTGGCTGGACAGGGTGGGGTGGCCCGGGGGGCATCCCGGTCATCCGCACACGTCCCCGCCTGCTGGGGCCCAGGGCAGGTGGAGTGGCATGCTCCCATGACAAGACTGTAACCAGTCACTACTGGGTCAGGAAAGGTGGCAAGTCAGAGGAAGGATATTTTTTTATCAAATACCACATTTAGCTGTATGTCGTAAATATTAAGAAAAGTATTTTTTTAAACAAGGCAGACTGCATATGTCTGCTGGCTGGTTTGTTTATATATAAATATATATCAGAACGTCTTGCTAAGCGAAGAAGCAACTCCCGCTGATAGAGCCTCTCCTTAATGCTTCTCTTCCGTGTGGCAGAGGAACTCTAGAAGACAGTGTCTGTGCTGGGGCCAGAGCCCAGGTTCAGCCTTCCTGGGGGCCACAGGAGCGAGCAGCCACGCTGAGGGCTAGGCGGGTCCCGGCCACTTGCTCCCCACCGGCCACACAGACATGGGTTCCGGGCTGGGTTCAGCCAGCTCTGGAGGGCGGGAGGAGAGGGGCATTCACACACAATAACTCTCCTCTTTGTGTTCAGACTCTCCTTCGAGCCTACCCACTTCTCTACCTCATCTGTATAGCGAGTAGGTGTGTACTCGAGTGACTTGGAGAATGTATTTATTTAACGGCTTTGTATAACAACCAGAAACAAATGGAAACACTAAATAAACATATTTTAAATTATAGCCCATCTCACTCCCCTGATTTCAGAGCCATTCTGGTGAGCCTGAGGGAGGTGTGCCAGAGAGAACAGGATCTGAGGGAGGAGGGTCGGAGGGAGGAGGGCCTGAGGGAGGAGGTAAGGGAGGAGGGCCTTGGGAATCGAGTTGAGGGAGGAGGGCTGGGCATGAAGAGCTGTGGAGGTGGGCCCTGAGGATGCGAGAGTGTCTTGGGAGCTGAGTGTCTCTTGCAGACCACAGACAGCCCAGAGGTGGGGTGGCTGGTGTCTCCCTGTTCACACTTGATGAGGCCACAGCTCTCATGTGCAAACCCCACCCCAGGCCCTGGTGACTTGAGTGGCTGCATGAGTCCTCTCAGGATGCCAGCACTGGAGCCCCAGGTGCCCAGCACACCCTCAAATGGTGCTCCCAGGGAGGGCCATGTGAGCCTCGAGACCCTTGTCTCTACCAGAGTGCCTGTCAGCCTCCAGGTCTAGAGCCAGAAGTCCAAGGTGTCCAGGTGTCCTGGGCCGCACTCTTTAAGCTGCTAGTGCTCCCGGCGTCCTTGGGCTTGAGGCTGCATCACCCTGTCTCTGCCTCCTACATCATGATGGCTTCTCTTCTCTACGTCTTATCCCCTGTCCCTGTGTGGACACCCTGTCTCTGCCTCCTACATCATGATGGCTTCTCTACGTCTTATCCCCTGTCCCTGTGTGGACGCCTGTCATGGGGTGTAGAGCCCATACACAATCCACGATGCTGTCATCTTGAGATCACTAAGTACCTTTGCAGAGATCCCATTTCCAATCAGGACCCCATTCTGAGAGTCAAGTGAACTTGAATTTTGGGGGACAGCTCCATCATGACAGCCCTGGAGACCTGGGGCAAGGGGTGGGCCTTGGTGGGAAGAGTAAGCTCCCCATTGGATGGGCAGGACAAGCATCCCCTTCTCTGGATCTTTGGGAAACAAAGCGCCCTTTTCTTGAGCAAGTCTTCCCTCCTCACCTCAAGGCTCACGTCCTTTGTGGGGCAGTGGAGGAAGCCTCTGGGGTGCTAGAAGGGCAGCCTGTCTCCCAGTGTCTTGGGAAACTGCCTCCATTGCCCTCTCTCTTCCCCAGGAGTGTTTGAAAGGCCCTTGGCCTGCTCTCAGGATGCTCACCAGGCCCCAGCTCTTCCTTCTGCTCCGAGTATGCAGCCTCTTTCAGAAGCAGGCCCCTCACACCTCCTCACAGTGTTGGTTCCCCGACATGGCTCGCCAATCTATCCAGACACCTGCTCTGAGTCTGGGGTACTCTGCCCCCTGCCTAAGTTGGCCCCCAGCAGCAAGGACCCTCTGCTCTCCCTGCTGGCTTATCTTCCTTTGAACTACCTTGTGTCCCTCCCACAGTTGTGACCTGCCCTACAGGACATCTGGTGGCAGGCTACCTCCTAGGAGGTTGCCTCCCTGCTACCTCGGGTCTCATGAGAGGCCCCTGGGTCCCTGGGAGAGGAATATAGGGTTATCTACCTAATCTCCATGCCTAGGCAGAGGATTGTGGCACCTCCTCTCCAGCCTGTGGACACCGCCATGAAGAGGCCAAGGGGTGCCTTCTCGCACCAGACCCTCTGCCAGGCTGAAGGTCACCAGGCAGCCCTGTGAGGTTCCTCAGCCTGGCATTGGGCTCTGTGGGTGAGGGATGGGGGATGGGGGTCCTTAGGGCATCCCATCACCTGCAGGACCCACAGGGTCAGCTCCTCCTCCATGTACATTGTGGAAACCAAAGCCTCCTCCTGGGCACTGCTACCAAGGGTTTGGTGGGGGCTCAGGCCTCTGTGCCTAGTGGGAGGGGACTGTGAGCTGCCAGAGCACAGGGAACAAGAAGCTTGAATGGGGCCATCCTTCTTGGGCAAGGTGGCCGAACTGTAGCTGAAACCAACCCAGTGTAGGAAGGTGGGGGCCAGGCTGCAAAGGGAAGAAGGGGTCCCCCTGAGCAAGACAGGCTAGACAGACCACTGTGCTGGCTGGACAGACCACTCTTCCTGCCTAGGCATGTAACCCCTGCTGAGGAGCCCTCACTGGACACCTGGGTCTCCCCTCAACCCTGGGTCCTGTGCATGGTGGATCCACCCTGCGCATCTGGCTAGTTTTGTGTATGTCTGTGTCATATGTACGTATGTGTGCAAGCATGTGGGGGGCCTGGTTTCAAGCATCTGTGTATGCGTGTGCATGGTCGTGCATGTGTATGTGCCTGCCTGCATGCACATGTGTGTTTGTGCTTACATGTGTGCATGCACATGTGTGTATGCATCCGTGCATGCATGTATCTGTGTGTGTGTACTGTGAACATGAAGTGCTGGGTTATTGCTCTCCTTTCTGGCCACCCAGCCTGCCTAGTGACCATGGTTTCCTACTGTCTCTGGCCTCGTCTAGCTAAGAAGCTCCCACTGGTCTGGCCCAGTGCCTGAGCTGGGGGAAGGCCTGCCTTGTCCAGCCACATCTGCCAGGTGGGCACAGACACTAGGAGGCTGCAAGGTGCTTCCTGCCTGTGGGAGAGCAGGCAAGAGCCCCCAAGAAGTTCTACAGAACAGGGTGTCCCTCCAGCTTGCTGGCAAGTCCCCCTGGGTGAGGAGGAAGAGAGGAGGGTAGCCCGCAGGGCTCAGGGCTCAGGCTGGGAGGCTGCTCAGAGCCATTTCTTGCCAATTGGTCTTGGGTACCATTCACAGGTGCGGAGGCAGCCTAGGATGCATGAACAGGTGGCCAGAGGCAAATCTGGGCTGGAGCCTAGCCTGGTCCTGTGGGGGTGGGGGTGGGTGTGGGAAGCCAAGATGGCTGGGATTAGGGAATGAGGCTGGTTAGGTCATGTCTTAGACAGGAAGGTATTCAGCTGGATCCTGCCTGTCTTTCCATGCTGACTTCAGAGATGGAGGGTGAGGTGGGAAGGCAAATGGTGATGGTGGTGGTTTTGGAGAGTGGAAAAAGTGAGCACGGCAGTAATGGGACAGGCCATGGCGGGGCTGGTGGGGCTGTGTCACCTCATTGTGAGATCCTGGGGGCCCTGGAATGATCGGGACCATGGAAGAGGATGCTGGTGGGCCCACACACAGCAGGTGCTCAGGGAGTGGCCCCTGAAGGATGGGAGGAGGTCTCTCAGGAGGGCTGAGAGCTGGGAGGCTGGGCATGGGCAATTCAGGGCCTCATCCCCAGCCCTGCTCTGGTGGGTCTCATGGCCTGAGCAGATCCCACCCTTCCTGGGACAGCCCCATCTGTGGGATCCCTCGGCTGCTGTGAAGGTCACAGAATGGACAGGATGGAGGTGACAGTGCAGTGGGCTTGTGTGCTAATGCCCTGGACACCCAGGTTGGCTGCCCTACCTCAATTGGCTTCTCAGCCCCACTTCACCCTCTGCCCCTGGGCTGTCATGGCTCCTCCCACTGTGCACCTCCAAGCCCCACCCTGCTCACCACCTGGGCCTCCTCTCTTGGGCCAGGACCTTCTTGGCCTAGCCCTCTGTCCAGCACACAGATCAGGACCCTGGCCTTGGGCGATGAGGCCTCATGCCCCGCCCACCAGAACTCCCAGGCAGAGGGAGACCCCAGTCTGGGGACAAGTATCCTGCCCTGCCTGGCTCCCAGGCCTCACTGCCCTGCGCACATCTTAGAGGTGGGGCTGACCATCCTGCCTGTTCCCAGACAGCCCTGGATTCTGGGTGAGGTGAGGCCAGGGGTCAGGCAGGAGGTGGAGCCAGGGGCCTGGAGAAGCTTAGTCCCCAGCATCAGCAAACTATGAGTGGAGGAGGGGTCCAGCAGGTTTCCTCGGAAACAAGACCAAACAAATATCCCCTCCCACCAACCCCCCCTCCCCCAATGACTTCATCTGCCCACCAACCCCGTGCTGTGGGGGGTCCTGGGCTGGCAGGGGAGATGCAGCATCCTTGTTTGTATTGGGCTCTCATCCATGGAAACGGCTGGAGCAGGAGCCCAGAGGCTCCTGCTGTGGTTATTAACTGGGTAGCCAGAGGCCCTTCCCGGAGCAGGGAAAAGCGGGGAGAGGAGGGAGAAGGGAGAGGAAGAGGAGGCAGGAGGAGGAGGAGGGCAGAGGAGGGAGGAGTGAGGAGGGGAGAGGAAGGAGGAGAGAGAAGATGGAGAAGGGCACAAAGGTGCAGCTGTGGTTTGATGACAAGGACACTGGAGTGGGCTGTGGGAGGCCTGCCGCCTCTCTGCTAAACCATGGGAATGAGAAGAGGGACCAGCACACCAGGCAGGTAGACAGGCTGCAGGGCCTGAGGGGGACCTGGAGGGACCAGAATAGGAGTGGGTGGGGTGAGGCTTGGGGCAGGGCCTTAGTGTAGATTTTGTCACAGGGGCGCCATGCACTCTCCACCTGATTCTGTCCCCAAATGTGTCCTTCAGGGACCCCCCTGCGCCAGTCACCTGTGGGCAGGGGCAGAGGTCACCTGTGTGAATGCCTACCACAAGCCCAGATCCTATACTGGATTCACCAATTGTTAACTTAATCACACTTGCTTGGTCATCTCTTTAAAAACACCCGTTTATTTTACCCTTCAAGAGTTGTTGACCCATCCCAACACATCACCTGTCGTTCTTGGTACATCTTCCCAGGACATGGGTGCTTGCCCACGTGACTCTTAACTATTGAACCTTAAGGAAAATCCTCACAGCATTGTTGGTTTGGTTTTTGTTTCCTGATCTGGGACCGTCGAGGATGTACTATTTGCCCTTCGGGGCTGCCGAGGTGGGTCCTGGGCAAAATGGTAACTGCCCTTCCACTGCACTATTCGTGCGCTCTGAGCTTCTGCTTTCCCCAGCCCCTGGTTCCAGCACACGGACCTCTGCTCAAGCAGTGACCATACAAATGCTCTCCTAATCCTGCCACTCCAGTTGCAGTCACCACATGCTGCCGTTCTGCATAGAAAGCTTCCCCTCACCAACTTTGCTTTGCTTTGTACTATTGCCAACCACACACAGATTGTCTTTTTCAACTCAAAATTTATACTGCAATGCTATTGTTATGCTCTGAGTGCTGACAT